CCTGTCTTGACACCGGACCGAGGTGGGTGAGTGAATTAGATGCCGCGAAAGTCTTCTCTCACTGCAATCTAGGGCAAGTCACTGTCCCTGCAACACCCTGCAGTTGAGCATGCAGTGGACCTCGTTGAAAGCGACGGTCAAACTGTCGGGTTGCTCAAACCTCTCTCATAGTCCTTTTCATCCTCCTCAACATTATCACAACTAAGAGAATCAGGTAAAGACCTGTTGTATACTAGCGTGAACTCTGCCTATCATTATGATGGGAGATAGAGAAACTGGCGCTGCGTGGGGGAGGGGGTGACTACCTACGGTGAGGTTATTTTTCTTATCTTAGTTGACATTACACAGGCAAGCGTACTTTTCATCCCACTCTATAGATAGCCTGCTGATCTGGCTATTAGAAATGAATCAGGTATATAGTACCCTTGGTAGGTCATCGACCAGTCATGTCTGCAGAGCGTTTTGCGGTCTCCTTTCCGTGTACCTGGCTCGTAATAGGTTGGGCGGGGGAAACCGCTTGCCCAACTTAATTCAAAACCATCTTACCTAGCGTAATCTCCGTTACGTTTAGCTGCTTACACTATCAGTTCTGGTGTTAGTAATGAGTAAATAATATCGCCAGCGAGACTCCATGTTCTCTTCCGTTACATAACGTGCCTGCATTTCATTGTAAACTGTGGTAGCGGAATTTTCGGACTGCATTGTCAACGATCGGATATGTGACCCCGCACAAAACTCGGGGATTGAGGAATGGTGGTAATAGGGGGTTTTGTGGGGGCGGAAAGGACGTAAAAGAAACTGACATAAAGGTTTTTGGGAGGTAAAACTAGAATTAGATTTATGCCACTAGCTTGTTTATGTACACCGATAATGAGGCATTGCCTGCCATCCGTGCCTGTCGCGGGTTTCGCACACTGTGCCCATCTCGTGGGCTGTGGACATCACCAAACAGCACGCGGAAACCCCATCCTTTTGTAATGCGGGACAGATGGTCATAAAGGCTAAGTGGGTGGAGCATATCAAGAGAAAGAAAATGATAAAAAAATAGAGCGTATAAAGTAATAGGAATTATTATTTAAATAACCAAGTAATCCAATATTTGCCCACAATAATTAAAAAAGCCCAGTAGTGCTCAATTGGA